TAATTATTAAATAATTAATTAATGATAAAAATATTAGCAAAATACAATGTATATTATTTTAAATATATATTATTGCAATAGCATATCAACAATACAACAGGAAAAATACTTGGAAATTAAAAATGTCTCCTGAAAAGATTATATTAATGACTATCAATAGGTTTTTTTTTTTTAATTCTTCTTATGCTTTCATATTTTTTCAGATGATTGATATTTCAAAATCCACTACATGATTAATTACTTCAAATGTACCTAATCTTCGTCACCGCATGCTTGGTAAGAATACAACTCTTTGGTATGTGCTTCGAAACTGGTTCTAATATAGCGCTGTATCCATTCGGAAGACTGATATTGCCGCCTTGAAGCTCATCATAAGAGCCCATTTCCAAAAGATCTACATCATCCATGCTGTCGCAGCCTGTAACGCAAGTCTCTCTCTTAAGTAGACAATTAAAAATCAATTGTCTTATTCTTCGTTGTTCTGGCGGCAAAGACGATAGATATATCTCTGCTTCCAGTGCGATGTGCGCCCCTACACTAGTTATACCATCAGGCGGACTATATGTACTCAGAAAATATTCCTCGCATCGTCTCAAAAAGCATACATAAGCCTCATAAATTTCTCGTAAAACAGGAAATGGCAATTGTTTTCCATCCTCCAGTGCTGCCACTACTTTGTGAGGTTTCGGCACATGTACAATGTCTATTAAACCATTTGCCATCGCCAGCTCAAATATGGGATTACCTAACACACCATGAATCCAGTTTGCCCCTAATTCAACTTTTTCGTTACCTAAATTAGACAAACAGATAAAAGTTTTGTAAATTTAACATTTGAATTTCATTGTATATACATTGTGTGATATTGTTTTCTATTGTTTATCTTAAAATAGTCTCAGTGGCAATATCATTAGATTTTTATACAATATGATTCAATATTATAATATAATCTTTCTCCTGTCTTTTAAATCTTTAAATATTCTTATTACATATTATATAACAGTAATATACACAATATGTGGAATCTTTACATGTTTGAAAAGTATTCTTTTTTTTCAGATTTAACTTGTACAAATAATTTCTTTGTGCCTAATCTGAAAAATTTGTACTGAAAAAAACATTATGCTAAAATAACTAATTTTGCAAAAATTTTATATGAAATAATTTGTACAAGATTACTTTATATAAAATTATTGATTGACCAACATTATATAAAATCCATCTCGATTTATTTGCTCTAAAAGTCCAGTTTACAATCTTCCTAAGCCTTTCTAAAAGTATTGGTTCAATTTTATTAATATATATATATTATTACATCACTGAAACATTTTCATAATTTATATATATTTACAAGTCAAAGAGAGGTATATAAATGGTAACTCTAAATGTTGTATTATATTATTATTGTAATTGTAGAGTTTGTCACTGCTTTATTATATTACAGAGCAAATAAATTTAGAAGCAAGTTAAATACTGTCAAAATAAGAAGGTTACGTTGATTGTACCAATTTGTGCGGCAACAACCCGTCCACCTATACGTCCGCGTGCCTCGACAATAAGAAAATCCGTCTCGCTGTTCTTCAACAAATGTGTTGCCGCTGACAATCCGGCCATACCGGCACCGACAATTAAGATTTTACATGAGAGTCGGTCATCTTCCAAATTATTCGTGGATTCCGCCATGTTCGTCACATATGAGCGATATCGGCTGTCAACAGCTGTATGTGTAATCAGCGACAGACTAGTCAAGAAAACACAGGTCTGTTCTTTTTAGCTGAACTAGTGCAGTCAGTTCATCTAAAAAGAACAGACCTCACAACAGTTGTACAACGTTGAATGAGCAAAAAAGTTCTTTTTTGACAGTTCTCTGAACAATTTTCGAACATACTGAAGACATTGAGCTAACAAGCTGTGATTGGTGCTTACTTGCAGATCTAAAAGTATGCACTAATCACAGGCGATATTACTAAACGATTTTACAACTATTGTGTTTTTCATGAACGATATTCAACATACATGAATCTATCTAGACGCAATTGGACGCCGCATGAGGGCGCTTGCTGCTTGCGTCTCAAATCTGTCATTACTGTCTTGAGTATAGTTAAACTGTGGTCTTTTCATATTTTGGTACGAGTTTAAGAATGTTTTTTGACAGTGTAATGAATAATCTGCATAAAAAATATAATAATTAAATTTTATAGTGTCATTATATTAGAGAAATGTCTAATTTACTTGTGCACAAAAGTTTGGAATTATTGGGCTACGAGAAAGATTTACACAAAGGTTAGTTAAAAGCACACGTGTCTTTACACGATATAGACACAAGAAATCTGTTTCATATATGACAATTTGCAGAACATAAAAAGAAGAAGAAACGTAAAAATATCAAATATAAAGGAGTATTGGATCTAATTCCTGCTAAACACAGAATTACCTCCAAGAACGATAAGACAGGTTAATATTGATTATATTAAGTATGATTAAGATTTATATGCTGATTAGCATACAATCTATTAACTTTTTGCCTTATAATATCAAGTGCGATTCGTGGAACGGATTACGGGCCAAATAAAATAAAAAATACAATCACATATATTGCTAAATATTTGATAAAAGAATTAATCTTTGAAAGTTTCTTCTCATGGTGCCATTAGCTTTCAAACAAGCATTTGCAAAAAGAGATTAAGTATATTACTATATCTTTGTTTATCCTGGCGCACGAGCAATCTTGTGCTTCACTAAAACATGAGTGGTCACAAATTAAATGGTAAGGCAAGAAGTTAAATAAATTTTCTATATAATAGTTTATATAATTATGTCATTAAATTTTATATTTACATAACTTGTATTAAACATTATGGATTTATTATTCTTGTAAATTTTTTTATTATTACATTTTTATGCTTTACTCAAATTACTACTTTGTACTATTATTAAATTGTTTAGTAAATATAGGCAATTAAACCAAAAATATGCTATAACTTCTCTCATAGATCTTGGTACTATTCTGGGACGATCCAGCAAAACTACTGTTTACGAAACCCAGAAGCGCATAGCTACTCAACAAGATCCTACTGATGAAAATGTACAACGGCTTCTGTTGCTAAGCAATAATCGAATAAATCCTGAAACGGCAAGCAAAGTAAAAGAAATTAAGTACATTTTACGAACTCATTAATCCTGAATTTCTCGCACTTGTTTTATATTTATGTTGAGTTTACTTAGCAAATTTTTTCTATATTGTTTTTATATTTTTTCTATCATATTTTTTTCTTTATGTAGTTAAAAGTATAAAAATAATTTGGATAAAGAAAAGCTATCACCCCCGATTTTGCTGATTTTTAGCGAAATTACTTATTTTATGTAGTAAATAATATTCCCAAATGGATTTTTGGCGCAAATGCACCTCCACCCTCAACCCCTCCTCAAAACTGTTTTTGTTAATTATTTCAGAAAGTATTCATTGTACGGAAAAAGTTGTCGAACAAAAAATGAAGCTCATAAAATGCTCTACAAATAAGGTCTTATACATATTTTATCTAACTCCAATATTTTAGTTATTATCAAAAATCTGAAGGCAGTGTGTTCCGTCTCCCTGCAGGGGGCTCCACCATAAAAAAACTATACACATAGGGTTTGGATTGAATCTCGCTTTGGGTAGAAACTCGTAAACCCACGTGGAACCTCGCTTCGCGTTGTAAAGTGTATACGTGGATGCAGTGAGTGCCGCCCCTCTACTTTTACAAGTTTTTTTGATAATAATGACTAAAATATTGGAGTTAGGTAAAATATGTATAGGACCTTATTTGTAGATCTTATTATGAGCTTCATTTTTTGTTTAACAACTTTTTCCGTACAATGAATACTTTCTTAAATAATTAACAAAAACAGTTTTACCTTTGAGGGGGGCTGGGGGGCGGAGGAAACATTTGCGCCAAAAATCTATTTAGGAATATTATTTACTAGATAAAATAAATATTTAGGCTGAATATCAGTCAAATCGGGGGTGATAGCTTTTCGGAAGTCCACCCAATAATTTAAGGTGAAGAAACTTAAATATTTCTTTGAAAGTATAATTTTTTTAATTGGAAAGCAAGAACAAATTAATTGATTGGAAAGCAATGCGAGAACAAATATGGTATTAAATATCACGAGTAATGTAGATTTAAATATGCAGGTAAAAATATGAACCACTCCAAAATAATCTTCTCTTTTAGCTGTTGCATCGTGCTGTTAAAAAGAAATACAGTCCACAAGAAGAGAAACCTAAAGAGCCAGAAAAGACAGTTTTCACTGAAGAAGATTTCAAGAAGTTTGAGCAAGAATATTTAGAGTAATATCAATCGTAGTGTGGAATTGTAAAGATAACACAACGTGACAAAAATAAAAGAGCAATCAGCGATGTTCGATAGCGATTATCAAAAAGGAAAGGTAATTTTAATATTGACAATAGTATTGTTTCTCTATTATACCATTTGGACGATTGGTCTGCCGTTTACCGATGACGACAGATTAAGATTTTTCTTTTATTCCCACGATTTGGCCTTAATAGTTCCCGCAAGTTTCGGTCTAATTTTTATTGGCGGTTTAATACTTTTCACCTTATATCACGTGAAACCGTATTTATTTCTAAATAAAACAGATAAAGTAGAGTAATAATTGAATAACAAATTGTTATAATAATGTGTTGGATAACTGTGTTAATCACAATCTATTATCATATGTGCCATGCTGTATAACACACACATACACATATGTATATGAGTTACATATACATCTTAATTCATAACACGCGATATAAACGCGTCATAAACGTGATGATAAGGGTTACATAATAGTACCATATAACTCCGTGTATGCTTTGAATTATTTAACAAAATTTCTCTAATTTGTCACATTTTTCAATACTGGCAAATTCAAAATGACGTCGAAGAATTCGTTTGTCATCGGCATAACTGGAGCAACTTGTAGTGGAAAGAGCACATTGGCTAATAAAATCCGCGACAATTTCTCAGGATCTGTTGTGATGTGTCAGGACGATTATTTTTTGTCATTGGATGATCCGCGTCACGTTAAGATACAGGAATTAAATCATATAAATTGGGAACTGATAACGAGTATGGATATGCAGAAAATGCATTCCGATATCGTACAGATACTTCAATCTCACAAACCAGATGCAGCAGATGGCACGAGAACGAGGATATTAATATTGGATGGCTTTCTGCTCTTCAAACACAAGCCTATCACGGATTTGTGTGATCGTAAATATTTTTTAACATTGACGAAGGAACAATGTTGGGAACGAAGAAAAGATCGTACTTACGATCCGCCCGATGTGCCGGGATATTTTGACAAGGTGGTGTGGCCTGAATACGTCAAGTATGAAAATGAAGTCACACGAGATAGCGAATTATATAAAACTGTAAGATTCATTGATGGATCCAAGAATATGGAAGAAATTTATGAGATGATTACCAAGGAGATCAGTCAATTATTATCTTAAAAGCGTATCTTGTTTTAGACTTATAACAGTTTAAATAAGTTTAGCCAAAATCAGATTCTTTATATATATATATATATATTGAAAATTACCAAAAATAAATAGAAATTGTTACGATTTTATATTGTGAAGATATCTAATATTGCAAATTAAGATACAATAATTTACAACTTTCTTAAATATTTTCTTGTAAGAATATTTTTTCTGATTTAAATATGATTCTGTTGTTCTATTTTTCAAAGTATTAGGATTCTAGTTTAAATAAAAACAGGTAATTAATAATGCGAATACTTATTCACTACAAGTCGTCATTTTTCTTTTGTAACTTTCATAATGCTTTCTTTGTGTCTTTTTCTATATGCGTCGATGTATGTTTCTCATTATTTAGAAATGCAATAATTTGCAACAAGATATCACAATATGTTAATTTCTATAATTAAAGCATGTATGGTGATTTCCATAACAAAGCCTGCTTTGGACGCGTTATAATTTAGTTAGCAGTTTTGAACTATTTGTGTAAAATAAATTGTCTATTATTTTATAGCAACGAGCATGCGAGAAATCACTTCAAGGGCTAACGATTTTAAACAGATAATCGTAAGATTTGTGTATATGTAAGCCTGTAGTTTTAAATTATATATGTTACAGAGATTTTTTGTGATAAATAGATTATTATGAATATTTTGTAAAAGTTATGAATTAATTATATGTTATAGAAATCTTACATTAATTTGTATCACTATAAATAATCGCAAAATAAAATCTCCGTAACGTATATACTATTATATTCAATCTAGTTATTATTTGTAAATATATTTCTATAAAATGGACATCACGCAAACAATAGAGAATAAAAACAACCAATATATGAGGCTATTAAAGTATTTCTTTTAATTCAATAGAAAATAGTTTTCCAGTTATTATTAATATCCAAAACAGGCTTTTATTCGTTGAAGTCTTAATTCTCAACAAGATGTTCTATGATTTCTCATTATTTTTTAATAAAAGTAACGCACAACGACATATATGTTACATAGAATAGGTGTTTTGTTTAATTTGACCTTGCACATTTGTAACGTTTGTTGTCGCAGGTCCGGCGGCTTGATCATCTTGATCGTTCTGTCCGCAAGCTTTGCGAACGTATTGCGGTGTAAGAACAACCTCTTCCTCCATTTCTAGCACTCGCTTATCTAATTCCGTACAAGCTGCCATTTCTTTTTCAAAATTTGCTAACATTTGGGGTGAATTATATTTTTCAGGATCATCGTGAAACACAACCATACCGTCCTTCTGATTAATAGTCGCAAAAATTTCACCGTCTTCGATCTAAAAATACATAAAAATTATTAATAAGCAATTTCAATTTATATATTATAGATATCGTGCATCAGAATATTTTATAATACCAGATAATAACTCACCATGTTTAAAATGTATTTCTCTGCTTCGGCAGGACCCGACAATTGAACTCTACTTGCAACATCACTTAAACTAAGCGTCAGGAAAGTCTTGGTTAATCTCTGTATATTCTTTTTGTACAAGAAAGCGAGCACCTGTTTCACAAGTCCTAGATTCTGATCCCTCACGAATAATTGCTGATACTTTGTAATAATGTTTTGCACTTCTTCACAGCTGTTAATCAGGTAGGCTGTAGCCAATTCCTGATACTGCTGGCTCAACGGTTTGATATATCTACTGATTACCTGGCTTGTGTATCTTGGCAGATTCAACACTTTTCCATGTAATATCAGGGAGATCAAGATGTATTTTTTATAGGCCTCCAGCATGATGTAGCTGACTGCCATTGCAGGTGTTGTTACACATACTTCGAAAAAATATAACGCCCGATCATAATTCTTCAATGCTGTATATATCATACCGCCATAATAATAGTATAATAGGAAATATTTAGAATCAAACTGGCCTCCTTCCTGACTAATTCCTGTAACGTCTATATCAAGAAACTCGAGCGATGGCTTAAAGCACTTAGACAGAAGACATAACTGGCAAAGGTCAGCATGTATAGAGGTCAACTGGCTGTCAAAGAGTTGTATTTTGCGAATTGCGCGACGCAACAATTCAATTCCGCGCAATGGCGTTTTTGACTCCACCAAGCTCTGTGTGAACTGATGACACAATTCTGCATCTGTAGAATATATTTCATTAATATTACGGTAACAGCACATTAATGAAGATTATAACAAAAGAATTCATATATACATGTATCTGGTGCAAATCTAACTTGCTCTCCATTACAGCCCACAATAAATTCCTGAACTTGATTGAATAGCAGTTTGTTTCCATCTGGATTATTGCCACCGTTAGTATTGGGCAGTGAAAATTTTGCGCAAAGTACTGCCAGGATACCTAAGGAGTGTTGTTGCAGATCCAATGTTTCTAAAACATTGTCCAAGTGTTGTCCATTCTTCGTCAATATTTCGCCGCTTTTGGTTATGATATCATACAGGTCTCTGAAATTACCTGTGGATATGCAATAGGTTATATATAGTCTTGATATTTAATCCCCTTATCATTTAAATATTCCGTTAAATAAGAATCACCTATACAATTACATACAAAATAAATTTAAAATCAAAAGTGTTCTCTTTTAAGAAAAGACTGAACACTACGCTAGAAATGTTTTACGTCGCTCTTTGTTTTGAGGTTAAGCTTTGCGATTTCACGACATTCGGAGACCCTACCTTGCTTTGAAAGCGTTCGAACATTATTTACAAATTGCTCCAATGCCGATGCCATTGCTGCGGATGCTTCCTTATCATCACCACCTTCGATCAACAATTGACAATTGCCTATTTACAGAAACTATATTTGCAACTGACCAGCTGAAATAACCGTTTCGAAACAGATGACAAACACAGGCGCTAGCGACGGAAGAAATTTAGAAGCTTAGCGTATGAACAGAAAAATCGATCAATCACACCTCCTGCATAAGAAATATTATAGTAGACCTGCGTTTTTTTTTACAGTCTTCGGACTCCTTATTTTCGCACTTGTCACCTCTTGCGCACTCTTGTGCTGCCTCTCAATACTTTTACCTATCACGTGATAAAATGAGAGCGAAAGAAAGAAGACGCGAAACTAATGTCTTGTTGATAGCAAATATCAGGTAAAAATGTTCTTAATTTACCAATATTTAGATACGATATATACAAAAATGACTATCTATGAGGAAACGTCAATAGAGTAGAGAGACTTTTTCAAAGAGTTTAATTCCTTTAATGTTTATCTATTGGCTTTCCTTTAATTCTGAAAATATTACATTTTTTTTGCATCTTGCACATAATAGCGCAAATATGGCGCCATTTAACTCTTATTCTGTTTAAATTTGTTAATCAATTTTTATTTTTAAAACGCGATTATTTGATAGCTATTTTTTCGAACGTTATTTAATTCCATACTTCGTCAATTGTTTATTTTCAAGATTTGGATACTTGTAAAATACAAAGAAACAAATGTATGTATATTGATTAAAATTATGTTAAAGCATACATTTATCTGAACTACATTTTGCTGAACACAAAAACAGATCAGCAAGATTGATTAGACGCATATGATTTCTTTTAATCCTGTTTGTCAAATATGGCCACGCTAATATACGATTTTAATTAAGTTGCTAGGTAACCGACAAATCGATTCTCTATAGCTGACAATCGACACCATGATATGCACTTGGCAAGTGCATTTGATGTTTGAATGCGCTTCATGAAGGAAGGATGTCGAGCGTGACGTATGATGAGCTTTGGAGAGCAGCTCAAATGTTGCTGACGGAAACAATCCAGGCAGACTCGGTTCTTCAGGGAGCGAAACCTCAAAAGGATCGTAACAAGGCGCACGATGTCGTTTCGGGATTGTATGTGAGATACATTCTTATATGCAATAAACTTGAGCAATGCTACGATCAAGTAATACAGCCGCAGAAGCGTTTGTTGATCAAGAGATCGTTGAACGCGAGCCTGGGTAGAATGTTGGAGCTGAAGCACGAGCTGGTCAATATTGATCTCTCGGAGCACAGCTATTACGACGATGTGCTAATCGAATGCGATGTGACGCCGCAGGAGGCCGAGATTCAGGTACCAAGATACTACAGACGCGAGCGAATCGCGGAAATCGAGGAAAGGCGGAGATTTATAGAGGACACGCTGAGAAATCTGGGCGCGCTTCATGAAATTGTCGTGCCCCAGAAAATTACTGAGTCGCAGGCTATACGACTCATCCAGGTATCACAAGCATTTTGAGAGCTAAAGTTTATATTTACACTTGCATTTTCGAAAAGGAAACAAATTATAAAATGAGAACATGTATAAATGGATTTGGATGGTCAATCTGATATTTATAAAACATTTACTATTATAATTTAGCTGAAAGATCTTGACCAACCTTTACTTTTAGATTAGGAAACCAGAATTGTATTTTAATCAAAACTAGTTTTTTTTTATTATGCAATCGTAAACATAGCTGTAAAACTGGCTTGACTTGCTATGAATAATACATATGTGTGTATATGTATGTGTATATTATTTAAAATATTTAACACATTCAAAACAGTCAAGTCTTCCAAAACTGATTTTAATTACAACAATGTTGCAAAGATGGTTTGACTTTTCGGTTTCAAGAATTTTTGATTTTTGATCATTCTTACTTAGAAATTTGCAAGTATAAGAGTCTTAAAATCCCACCACTATAATTACCACTATAATTAGAATAAAAATCTAAACGTATCTGAATTCTGTTGTCTGTGTTGCTGCAAATGCCTGAAAATTTATAATCCAATAATTAAAACTTATGCTTTATGAGGAAGCATAAATCTTATTTAATTAAAAAAGCAACAATATGTTGATATTATTTTGCATGTACTTGTGATTTTTTTTTCATGCCTTTCATACTAAGCTTTAACATTTCAGGCCCATGAACGAGCGAGACAAGGTCGAGTGCGTTATCAATTTATGAAAGAAATCCGTCAGATGAAAGAAAGATCGACTACCAAGCCAGAGGTGGCAGAGGAAGATGAAGCAAACGAAAAACTTGCAGCATTGAAAATTCAAAAAGTATGGAGAGGATATATCACTAGACGCTATATTCGCAAGAGACGTCTCGAAGAAATGCTATTAATAGGTAATAATTGCGACATCATCTTTGAAATTTAATTATTGATTTTTATTTGAGTAAATAATTTTCATATACTGTGTTGTCTGCAATGTATTTATTTAATTGCGAATCACTCTAATCTATTTGTTCTGATAAAAATATAAGAAAGAAACAGTTGAAAATAAAAAAATTATAAACAAAAAAGATCCTTCAGCTCTTTCATTCTATAGAAGTACGAATAACAGTTTTAATTAAATTATACATTAATCCTACTTTTGGAAGCATTTGCTTGAATATAAAGGAATAAAAGAATTTACTACACTCAATTCAACATGAGAAAAAGAATTTATTACACTCAACATGTTCTAATTCAACATGTGCTAACATGTGAATTGTCCATAGGAATGCTTCAGCCTAGTCAAGTGGTCACTGAAAATGCCAGACAAGCAGACAAACTAAAGCAGCAAAGATATGAAAAGCAATTGGACTTTCAGCGACAATACGAGGATCTATTGATAGAAGCAAAAGAGAGACTCCGCAAGGATAGAAGCGCGATTATGCAAGAAAACATACGGATTGAAATTCGAAATTGGATTGACACTTATTTTCAGCAGACGGGAAAAATACCCGATTTACCATCTGCCGAAAGCGGCGGCTCGCGAATGATTTTTAGCAGACAGGTAAAGTATTGCGACACACACATAAATATGTATAAAGAGTCTTGTAAAAAAGTTTTATACAAGAATATAAAAATAAAATATAAATTATATAAAACAAAGTGTCTTACATGTCATCGATTTAAGTTAACTTTGCTACAGATTTTTGCATTTTGTTAACTACACTTTGTTCTCCTTGCAGGGAACCGAGAGCACTGTGAGTAAATCGACAACGTCGAAGGAATCGAAGAAATCAAAACGTTCCAAATCGAAGAAGGATAGCGAAACAGAACAGTCGGAGGACGAGACGGATCAAGGATTCAAATCGGTCCCCTCGAATTTCCTGCCGGAATTAGTTCAGATGAATCAAGAATACCAGGATGTTTGGAAGGATAAAGATGAATCCGCGAATCCGATGCAGCTACCTGATCGCGATATGATAGAAGCGGAAAAGATGAGAGAAGTTGAGGATGAAGTTAGAGTAGTTGTGGATCAGGCGATGAGAGGTAGGTGAGACTGTAACTTCTTAAAAGAAAGGAAAAAACCTGAAATGACCTAATTCTTATTTCTATTTAAATCAGTTTGCTCTTTATGCAAATTTGTTTTTCCAAATTGTTCTTTTACATTTACATTTTTACATTTTTGAAAAAACAGCACATAAAATGTGGAAAATATGCATATTACAGAATTTCAAACAATAATAATTGAAATGTATGTACATATTCAATTCGATTGTGTAATCATTCATTTTGTGCTAATAATGCTCTGATAACGTTCTGTATATATCGTACTGTATTATCATACAAGATAAACAATAATTATCATATGTTATTATAATTTATAACGTATAGTTGATATTACATTTGTTTAAATTTGTTTAAACATGACAATGATTTCTCGGCGATCAGTGACAATACAAATATTACAATCATTGTATAATTATTACGATTAGGTGATATAGAGGCTCTTCAGGTTGCATTAGACAAAGATAGAGGTTACAAGGGAAGACGCTCAAAAAAGCCTCAGAAACGAGTTCGCAGGAGCGGAAAAAAGAATAAGAGAAAGAAGGAGAAGGATTTGACGCCTGATAGAACAACCGAGTCTCTCTTCGAAGAGCTTCTCACGCAGGGCGTTATTAAGCTTCACCGCGAAGTTTCGTTGGATGAGTTCAAAGGTGAAAAATCGTTTGCGAATTACGATCTTCGTACGAAAGAAAAAGATCCTCTTCCGACACTCGGTACGTTAAAGCTACATAGCGCTTAAATTTTTTACTTTCCTTATCCTAAAGCAGTAGCTATCGCGGCTTTTTTCTACAATCCTTTTTGAAAGAATACGATTTTGTTCTACTTTGTAATACTAATTTTTAAACATTTGCAATACAAAACTTAAAGAGTATTTTTCTAAACGTAGCCATACGTAACAATATTATTTTGCAAAGTTACATTGTAAAGAAATGAATTGCAAATACTACTGCGCAGTATTTCCTTATGTATATATGTTTATACATGTCATGCTGCTTAAATATGCAAAATGTTTAATATGGAAATTATTTCTTTTTTTTTGTATGCATGCGTAGTATTTTTTTCAAGAACTATTAAAAAGCCAAGTTTGCTTGACGGAATCATTATATCATCGTACATTGCATCGCTAATGTTCACAAATATAAATTTCTAAACGTCTAACTAAGAATTTATGCAGAAACTTGCGAAGTACAAGAACATTTTGCTATAATAAAGATTAAAAAATACTCTAAAAATTTGATCTCTTAATTAATTAATTATAAAAAAACATTCATAAATTTTATTTTATATTATAGCTATTTGTCTATCATTGTAAAAAGTTAAAATTAAAATCTCAAAATTGCATATAGAAATTTAAAAATATAAATAAAGAGAGTTGAAAATTTGTAAATAATGTTTGCGCATGATAATATAAACAAAAATTATCACATGTTATTACAATTTATAATGTATAGTCGAAATTACGTTTCTTTAAATAAACATAACGAATTTCTTGGCGTGATCAGCAACAACACAAATATTACAATTATTATATAATTATTACGATATAAACATATAAACATTTGCCAAGAAATTGATCTCCAAAATTTTAAATTGATATAGAGCATTCTTTATAATAATTAATTAAATTACAGGCGACATAAGACAACTCATCGCCGAATATTGCATACTTCCATTGGGCAACCAGGTTCTGAGAGAACTCACGCCCCTTGTAAGATCAGTTCTAATAGCCGGTCCAAGTCGCAGTGGTAAAAAGTTGTTGGTGAACGCGATCTGTACAGAACTCGGAGCTACACTTTTCGATATCACGCCGGCAAACATCGCCGGCAAATATCCCGGCAAGTCGGGATTGATTATGCTTGTTCACTTGATCTCGAAGGTTAAAGTTATTAATATTTACTTGATCGATTGTATATACTGATGTATGCACTAATTTTTCTATGATTCTCCGAACATTTACTTAAAAAATTACGAAATTTTATTGTACTTATATGAATACGTATAAGTATTTAAATATATTTGAATAATTTAATTTTTATCCAAGGTAAAAAATAAAGTTATGACAAAATGGACGGTAGTAGAAATGAATCAAATTCCTAACAGCAAGAAAATTTGAAGAACTAAGTAATAAAATAACTTTTAATTATTTATCTCGTATAGTTACAAAGCTTAAAATGATGAGCTATATTTGAACAATTCTCTAATATTGAAGGTATCGCGATTACTACAACCGTCAGTGATCTTCATGGACGACGCAGAAAAGCCGTTTGTGAAGAAAGTACCAAAAACGGATAAGACAGATCCGAAACGTTTAAGAAAAGATCTACCAAAGATCATGAAAAATATCACGAGTGAAGACAGAGTTCTGCTTATCGGGACGTCTAACAAGCCTTGGGATGGCGATCAAAAACTTTTATATCAGACTTATGACAAAGTTATATATATTCCTAGACCGGATTACGGCAGCGTATCTCTTGTATGGAAAGATTTGTTATACAAAGTGAGTAAATGCCATCTTTAACCAGTTCAGTGGTAGACTTTTCCGAAAGATTTGTGCCAAAAGTGGTAAGAGTCAAAAATTAAAATATCGAAAAACGGTGAAACATGGGTTCAAAGTTTTCGAAAAAGCTCCCAGCCCCCCTCAAAGGTAAAACTGTTTTCGTTAATTATTTCAGAAAGTATTCATTGTACGGAAAAAGTTGTCAAACAAAAAATGAAGCTCATAAAAGCTCTACAAAAAAAATCTACATATTTTACCAAACTCCAATATTTTAGTCGTTTTTATAATTAATAGTCGCCATATTGGATCCGCCATTTTAAATTTTGCAATTTTGACATCAGATTCGAATTCAGCAGCCCAAAAAACCTTAGGATATTAAGTTTTATGCAAATCTGTTGAAAATTATTGAAGTTATTTGAAAATTTACATATATGATACATTACCACGTTTGGCATTTTTTTTTTTGTACATATATGATACATTATTACGTTTGGCACTTTTTTTTGTACATATATGATACATTACCACTCAACTGATTAATTGATATTGTAGTCGCTCAATTTTTTTATTACATCAAATAATTATTAATTCTGCAAATAAGATTTATATGGATTATTAATAATTTGCTTCCATGTATTGAAAATTTTTCAATATTTTTGTTTTTAGTACTCAGGTATTAATCGGCAATTTGATACATCAGCTTTAGCAAAAGCATGCGACGGTTTTACAATCGGTACCGTTTTAGAAGCGATCAATGAGGTTGGTAACTAAAATTACAAATACATCTCAATGTCATATTGCTTGTCTATTAATTTTATATTTCTGCATTTATTGTGTTTTATGAATATATATTTATGTATTACGTATATATTTGTTTTTTTGCGTATTTATACAGGTAATGACTACAAAACGAATGGTACAATTACGAACTCATCCTTTGACGTACGTAGAGCTGGTAAATGCGTTGAGTTTCCAAGATCCAGTATACCGTGAAGAGGAGGATGCGTTTTTAGGTTTGAGACAATGCACAATTTCCAAAAATATATCAAAATAATTAATTGGATAATATAAATTTTATTCTTTAATTTTCTCTATTAATATTATTACTTATTAAATCAGTTTATTAAAATTAAAATCACATATATGAAACTGGAACATTCTTTTAATGTTTTACAACTTTGTTGATTGCTATCTTAAACTTAGAACGTTAAATTATATTATTATTATGACATAGCCTGGTATTCCAAAACTCCAACCTGTCGACGAAAACAAAGAGCTCTGGAATTGGAACTCGAGAAATTGAACGAAGCAAAAGACGAGTCGCAAAAGAAGAAAGGAGGAAAGTAATGGAAATCATTTTCGTGTAAGGACACACTCATATTTCGTAAGGTAAATAAAGTTGTTTTTACATATAAAAAATTTTATATAAGATTTTGATAATTTTAGCATCGTGTGAGAAAAATTTTCGAAAATATTTTCAACGATATTAAAAACTACAAATTCCTGTAATCATTATTTTGATGATAAAATAATGAGAAAGACAGAGAGTAATCTTAATTTTTGTGAAGAGTTTTGCTGCGAGAAGCAAAAATAAATCAATGCATGATATCATTTTTGCGATTGCTTTCACGTGATATATTGCGTGATGAAGTGCATAAGACGGCATGCCGAATAATCGATTATCTCAGTAGCGTGTATCACTGTCACGACTCGGCGCATCTATGTCGATATCACCGACGATTTTGATTAGCGCAACTGTAATTCGCATCACTCACAAAGCGGCATCGTGGTGCTAAACAGGATGCCCTCCTGTTTGACTGTGGACGATGCCACAAAGAACTCGTTAAGCCTGACGATTCGTTATCTCATGCACTTTCTTCGGTGGGCGCGAAATTAGGCTGTTGCTTTAATCGAGTATATTATTGCTTTGGAAAAGAAGCAAATATAACATAGTGCATCACTTGAAAAAAATGAGCTTTTTACAGAGGTAATAAAAACAAACAATTCTAATTCTTAGTAATTTTTAATTTAGGATATAAAGAAATATTAAAGAAAACATTTTTTAAAAATATTAATGAAGATAAATAAAACGAAATGTTGAAATGCAAAGTATATTTTTGACATCAGTGATCCGAATCATCTTTTAATATTAAAAATTATTTTCGAAAAATTATAATTTTCTCATTTTATATTGCAAGTTTCCTCTCTTGTGAGAGAATAACTTTTTATCGCTCTGATTTGCGTTCGTAAAATCATACGAATGTATAATTATCTTATTCTGATATTTATGTAACTGGTCTTGTAACGATAACGACAGTTATATATTTTTTTCATTTAATGTCAAATGATGTCATATTTTTTTATTTTTTCAAGAAATTATCGCATGCAGATTTATACGTGTTTTTATTTAATTCTTTATACAAAATTTTCCTCTACAAATCTAACTCTCAATCATGAATTGATTAATTTTAAGCATAGCTGTTTCTTGAAATTGAGTATGGTCTATTTTTGCATATGTGGATATTTCTATGTGTATATATCCACATCTATATATGTATATATATATATATATAATTCTTGATATTTTATGATTAAAAAAGATTTTAAGTTATTCAGGTAACCAAATGTTAACAATCAAATTTGATTAAATGGCTGTCAATCTGCCAACACTATTAACATTTGGATGATTGAATAATTTAAAGTTTTCATCATAAAAATATCAAAAATTCCCTCTTTAAAGTTGTTTGAGCGTTAATTAATTTTCTTAAGAAATTATTTAAGTTTATACCATTTGTACTTAGAGATTTCACAATTTCACAATTTCAACGATATTGATATTATTAATTACTGAGATATTTGATTTAAAAGTAAGAAACTAAGCGATTTCTAAGATTATTTTTCTTTTAGCAAACTTTTGTCCTAAGCTTAGTTTTTGAATTATTAATTGAAAAACATAGCAAAATTGAAATTCCAGTTCCAATTCCAGTTTGTGCACAAACTAGCATCTTTTTGCTCCTTTACATTTCAATTTTTGCTATTTTTTTAATTATATAACTCAAAAATCAAGTTCTATACTAACTCAATTATAACTAAATAAAATCTAAGTTTCGGATAAAATTTTATAAAAGGAAAAATCGTCTTAGAAATCGCTCAAAAATATAACATTTCACGGACATCAGATTGTCTTGAATCCTGATGCGAGATGAAATGTTGACCGAGATTACCATAGATCAAAATGTACATAGATTTATGAATAAAATCATACCTTTCGCTCCTTATTTGCAATTTGACATTAATGTTAACATTGACATTGTATTTCTTTCTTTACATAATTACTATTGTAATACTATTCAGTTTTGTGAAGACCATGACCAGGACCGCATTTATACTTTTGGAGTTACTCTAGACGCAACATCATCATGAGGCCTCAAAAGAACAAGTCTATTTCAGTTAATCAAATTTATACGCATTTTTTTTTAAGTTTATTGAAAATAAAAGTCGACATGCATTACATGATGCAAAAAGGCGTAATTTAATAAACAATTACCGCTTACAAATTTTTCAGCGGCCTCTAGTTTTTATATTATAAATTTAATATTTTAAAGTATTTTATTTTGCAACTATAACTAGGCTGTTTTTTATATTGTCATTAGTGAGGAGTAAGATTTCAAAATGAGGCCCCAGCTTGCGCTTAATGCGCCTTATGGTAAATACGGCCGTGACTATGACCATAAAATCTGAAGATTGCAATTTTTTCAAAGCACATTGAATATTTTGAATTTAAAAGTAGGGTCATTTTGATTCTATTATCTTTCAGAGTGTTTTTAAAAGCTTTATCAACGCTCAATATATCCAATCTTGTGTTTACATTAATATTCCATTAACTGCTTTTTTGTAAAATCTTGTAACAAAGTTGTTGAGTGTATGTGTTAATTTTTATGGTTAATTTATATAATTATAGTATAATTTTATGGTTAAAAAATTAATGAGTTTTTCTGTTATTTCAGTATGTTATTTTCTCTTAGTAAAAATCTATTATTTTTAACAAAAATTTCCATATTATAATTAAATTAATATTAAGATAGACTTTTCATAGCATTAAGTAAAATTAAAGGCACTTGTATATCTATTTGCATCTCTAAAGTTTTATTTCATAGATTTAACAAAATACTATTTAAAAATATCTAAAGAAATATAATGCAATCTAAAGGAATATATTTAAAAATAAATCGTAAAATAATAGAACTCAAGTTTTTTTTATATATCTCGATTATTTTAAATCCCTTAAATTTGATAAATTTTTAGCTAATTAAATATTTATATTATTGATTTTATCAATGATATTGATGATTACTTTTCAAGGTTTCAGTTAATTCCTTGTTTTGGAAATATTAAATTTATGTCACACACACATATATATGATATTAATGATATAACAAAGTCAAAATGTCATTTTAGTGACTTGAATACATAAAATTGCATTGAGTGTTGGGAGTATCGTGGCATTGATTCCCACTGCTTCACGTGTTTCAGATCAGCGGCCACGCTGCGCAGCGCCATGCCACGCCGGTGATGTTATCATCCCCCTGATAACGTTGCATTACGCAAAATGTAAATGTAACGTGGAAAAGACGCAACATGTGACGGACACATGACCGTGAACTCTCCATCACGATCTCGTGAAATGTTAAATAAGCTCTGAGAGAAACGACGGGTCAACTTGTACGCGATTCTCCTTGTGACAAAAGATTAGACAGGATGTCGTCGCACGGACACGACACGCCGGATGAACGCGCGTGCGCACTCGAAGGCCGCACTCTTATTGGTCGCCACCACATGGTCTGATGTCAGACCACAGAGACTGTCCAATTCTATAATAAGATGCTGGTGAGCTAGACGCCAGCCAGTTCTCTATTTGATCGCCCGGCAGTTTTCTCCAGCGAGAGCGGGAGTCACTCGTGTCCGTGAGCAAGTTCCGCAACTGCAAAGAGAGTCCCGCGGTGATTCAAAAGGCCGGACGGCGCAACGAGTAACGCGTTCCACATTTTTCTTCAGGATTACGTATATACGAGAACGCGAATCAGGTGAGTTTTTGCGCGATCAATAATCGGGGTAGTGCGGGTGATCATCTGCTTCCTGAGGGAAGTAACGGCATCGCGCGATGCCGGAAACGCCACACTGGAAAGTGATCTTGCGTAAAATTTGTTCATACTGATCTTTATGTTTTTTTTCCGATAAGCTAAAGCACAAAAAAATTACACAATTATCAGATCGGTACAATACAGTTTAGTAAATCATAAAAAATTCAATTATATTTGTAAAAGCATCATAATATATTGTCACCGACAAAAGTTAAAAATATATTTATTCTCGTGTGTAATTGCTTATTATGATTATTATGATGCCATATTATGTCAAGAAATCTGTAATATTAGCGTTCCATGAAATATATTTTTTATTTGCTTGCAGGATAAATTATACGTTCAAGAATTAAATACATTCAGTCGTTCACAAGTAATTACACTGTTTGCTAGTTTTTCTCGGTGAGAACAAGTAACATAGTAATCAGTTATTTTCCGGACTACTTGTAAAAGGAATTAGATCGATTACACCCACTACTTCAATTTGTCGCACGGTACTTTAAAGAATACCAGGCAATAATAAAGGGCAATATACACTCGAAATATAGAGAGAAAAGAGAGACGAAAGCAATTTATCATTATGTATGTCAAACTATGTGAATGTCTAACAGAACAATCGAATGCATTGCGGCTTCGCGAGAAATGCGAACGAGTTCATTATATATGCTCAGTTTTACGGATTCGCAATCCAACTCATATAAATGGCAAATAGTGACAAATTCTCGCGTGTAGCATGAAAAAAAGATTTATACGTGACTTTGCTTTCGTTTCTTTTATAAAACTCAATATTACCAACAATAGTCGATACTTCTTTCGTGTTTATATTACGTCATACATATCCGGATGTTATATGAGCGTGATGTCAAATCGATACCTGTTGTGTTTGCGATTTCACTTTTATGAATCATTATAAATATTTTTGTTTACATTAACATTTAAAAATGGTATAAATTTGGTTATAAATAGAAAGACTAAAGAGGAAAGAGAAATATTATTTATATTGTTATAAAGCTTCACGCAAGAGAATTGCAGAAACAATGAAACATTTTAACTAATTAATTTTCAACCGTACAAATTTATCAGTTATAAATTTTATTATATTAACAATAAAAGCAGAATGGATAAGTTCTTAATAATTAACATAAACAATTATAAGTATAGGAATAATAAGGAGTCTTGCATGATGATGACGTTAAAAAATCCTTTATTAATTTTATAATGTCCAAACATTTCAGCCGTAACATTCAATCATTTTCAGTGGAATTAATATAATCGCGTTGAATATTAGTTCCCATTAAATAATAGTTAGAATGCTGAGACTGACTTTGGTGGCAAATGTAAGACATTTTTCGATATGTGTAATTGTGTCAAACGTATGACTGTTGACAATTCCACCGAAGGTGCACCGTTATCGTGCAAGGCTCCTCATTCCTGTATAATACTTGTGTAATATATATAATTAACTTATAATATATACATATAATACTTATAATTGTTGATGTTTTATTATATTGTCATATTTATAAGTTTTTAAGATATTTTTGCAAAAATGATAAGCATAATTTCTTTTAGATTATGTCTATGCACATTTTTGCTTGAAAAAATTAGTAAACTAAAAGAATCGATAAATTCAAGCTTTATACTAATTTTTTTAAATGTTTTTTGATTCGTTTTTATGCTCTTTTAATGTTGCGTAATGTTTTGAATGAGATTTTACAGTTGTCCTAGGAATTGTACGTACAATCAATGCAAAGTTGTTCAGAAGTTACTTCAGTTGATGGTTGAATATTCGTAAGAAAGCAATGAAATGCAAATAAGTTTAAAATAACTTTAAACTAATTTTGTGTGTAAAAATATAAAAACATGTAAAAATTATTCCTTTTTTATTTTTAGAAGAATCGATAGCATTTATTGTAACAGCTCTTGCGATTTTGTATTTTTGGTTTTTGAGTATTTATAACAGAAATAAATATTTCTTATTTGAGCAGAAACTTTATCATATAGCGCAAATCTTGCTGGATATATTTAAACAATACTACACTAAAACTGCAAGATTCTATGTTGTTTGAAATATATATAAGTTATCTTTTTTCATGCTCTTGCATAATATTCTGCTTATCTGTGAAAACAATATCAAATCTTTTTATTTTGAATTTGTTGCTTCTCTTAACTTATTTATATTTTAAACACACATGTATCGAAGACTTTGAATTTTCTAGAATATCATATTTTTCGTGTTCTCCAAGAGTGCAATTATTAATGCCTTAATTATTAATTACAATCGCACACGCGTGATCGCGATTGCGTGGGCGCAACCTCGAGCTTTTGAGTATCAAACGTACAGCTGTTGTACTTATTTGCCGCGCAGCTACTTCTGATATCGTTTTAATTTCTAATTATCTTTTAATAAGACTTAATAGCTGAATCAATTAGTTGAATGTGACGAAATACAAAAGCTGCGATCATTAAGTTTTGTACGCATGAGGGGTTAATTTTTTATCTATCTAAAACGTATATTATCGGTGTAAAAAACGGTACAATGAATTGGCAATAAGCGTATATTATCGCTTAAATTAAAATTCGACATTTGTAATCTTAATCATCTTATGATTGTATGATGTGAGATGACTATATTATATGAGAAACCTCATTTGAAAGTATAAGTGGGACGCAGTACAAAAAACTACTCTATCAAGAATATTAATAATTATTGCTTTTTTTTGAATTTTGATCTTAATTATGATAAAATATATTTTCTAATTTTATCTTTTTCAGACGAAAATATAAATGTCTGTCTATTTAGAAGCAACACATTCAAATCTGCAGTATTTTTTATTTCTTTTTCTTAATATACTGCTAAATTTATTCAGAAGTGATCTATCGTTTTGTATGACAAGTTACATATTTGCTTTATATGATTTCACGAAGCGAACTCGTGCTGACTGCACATATACTTTATATTTTCAAGATTAATGCGTTATTTATCCGCGTACAGTTTGTTTAACGAAAGAGTTTAGCAGATACTCCGTTTCAAAATGTAGTGGATAAAACTCAAGGACAAAACTGTCTAGCGTTTTTTTATCTTAATATCCTCGCAGTTACTTGTCTAATTAGCAACTTTGCAACATACATAATAAACGTGTCATTCAGAATCCAATTCACTCTGCGAACCACGCTAACGTGATAACTCGATCTTGCTTGACTTGAATATCCTCGACGTAATATGACCGATTGTAAATTTTTTCTATTTATTTATCGTCACCGATAAGGTCTGAATGAATCATTCAGATAACGACATGGCTGATTCAATTTTGTTGAATTAGTTTAACATCGATCGACAACTGTGATAACTTCTCATCGCTGATTCGTGCGCAATAATGTGCAAATCTTATCGCGGTTACAAAACTCGCAAAACCACCGTTTATCTTGGCTTTATCAGCCGATAGTTTTACGCATAGGAAAACAAGGGTGAGATTTTTGCTAAAGAAAAAAATATCTGTAAAAATTAATGTGTGTGCGGATCTTGCGCTCTGTTATTGTGCCATTGATTAGATATCAAACAATAAGTGACGCGAGACTTTGCTATCTTTCAAAATTATACCACGCCGTTGATTAGCCGGTATTACCTTTTAAAAAAAAGTGTCGTCAAGTAGACACGCGCCTGTCATACCCAATGTCATTCAATTTTCATAAATGATACGTTATTTTGCTATCTTCCAAAATTATATCGCTCCGTTGATTGGGTATCAGACAATTTTCACAAATGACGCGTGACTTTGCTATCTTCCAAAATTATGTCACGTCGAGGATAACACGTTCCGCAGCACGTGATCACGAATCGAGCTCGTGCTGACCGCACGTACACTTTATATTTTCAAGGTTGTTATTTACCCGCGTATATGTGCAGTTTGTTTAACAAAAGAGTACTTTAGCGGATACTCCGTTTCAAAATGTGGAGGAAAACTCCAGGACAAAGCTGTCCAGCGTTTCATCTTAATATTTTCGCATGTCTAATTAGTAACTTCGCCACGTATAACGTATAATAAACGTATGATACTGAACATATTGATCATGTGATGTGACCAACGTTCTGATTAATTTTTTATCAAGTGTTGCATGATTTTTTTGCAGTGGCACGTTTGAGGCGAGTGTTGATGACATATCATATCTTACATGTCAATACATATCAGACTGAAATTTAAAATGTAATAATATCTGTGAAAGTTGAATGCACACGAAAAATTTTCATGATTGCAATAATATATTTTGAATTAATGTAATAGTTTCTTTCCCTCTATTTAATTTAATGACAGTTTTTAAAACTAGCGTATCTTAAACGATGACATCAAATCTTACTTAAGATTTAAGTAGAATAGAAATATATGAGATTTTTATCGGAATGTGTAAACGAGGATTTTTGGTCATTTGAGGACACGTGCTGTCATTCATTAACATTATGCATTTGTTGAAAGGAATGACACCCGCGAACAATCATTGCAAAATTGGTTTATCCGAGTGAAACTACTCAACTGAGATTACTCAATTAAGTATGCTGTGTGCCAATTGAAGGTAATTGTGCATAGTAATTGCTCACGGATTGAGCGTGTCCAAAGAGACATGTTGAACGAGATCTTAACCAGCGAATTTAGATTTTAATGTTACAGATACGCGTAAATAATCTCAGACAGACTTATTGAAATCTTCAATTCCGACAAAAATGATGAAAGATCTGTTTGATGATTTTTTTAAAATATGCTGAAGGCAAAGCAAGAGATATTTTTAACGAAAACGAAAAACATTATATTCTTAAGAAGTATAAAAAATTGAAATTTTTCTATTGTTTAAATATGTTCTAATGATTCGAATTGGTTTTTATCTTTGCAGACGGAGAAGAATCTACAGTAAACGAAGTTTAACATAAATTACACGGCAAAATGCCTGCTCAGTTTGAAAGTATCAACAGTCCTATGACGCGGGAACCCGTGGTCGGAAATGGAGTACCATATTCCATCGACAGTGACATCGTCATTACGGGCATTTCAGGTAATTGTCGATTGTGAACAGTTGCGATATAATTTAACCGGATCGTTATGGGAGCGTGACACGTCGACATTTCTTTCAGGTCGTCTGCCCGAATCGTCAAACATCGAGGAATTTAAAGAGAATCTAATGAAGGAAGTTGACATGGTTACCGATGACGATCGCCGTTTTACGCCGGGTATCCACGGATTACCGCTCAGATCCGCCAAGCTGAAGAACCTCAGTAGCTTCGACGCCTCGTTTTTTGGGGTGCATCCCAAACAAGCAGATGTAATGGATCCACAGCTTCGAATGTTGTTAGAAATCACGCACGAGGCAATAGTTGATGCTGGCATCAATCCCTCGGCCGTGAGAGGATCGCGTACCGGCGTGTTTATCGGCGTTTCTTCTTCAGAATCTGATGAATTTTGGACGAAAGAGATAGATAAAATCACTGGTTCGTATATTTCGAAAATTGATTCTGGATTGTCATCCAATAAATTGCTTACATTTGTCTGATATTTTAATCGCAGATATTTGTTGAAATTTTTATCAAAAATTGAGAAAAAAAAATTGTTAAAATTCAAAAATTTATAAGAAGCTATTTGTCGTAATTTTAAACGCACTTAATTTTTTTTACATTTGACATAAATTTGTCTCATATTTCGTCAACATTTAACGGCAAAAAACTTAAAAAATAACGAATAAAAGATAATGTTATTTGCAGGATATGAACTGACCGGATGTTGCAGAGCAATGTTCGCCAATAGAATCTCTTATACATTCGACTTCACCGGACCTAGTTATGCAGTAGACACGGCTTGTTCCTCATCGTTGTACGCCATGCATCATGCGATTGCCGCAATGCGCGCCGGCGAGTGCGACGCCGCGATTGTCGGCGGAGCGAATCTCCTGCTGAAGCCTGCGAATGCGCTTCAATTTCACAGGCTGAGCATGCTGTCTGAGGATGGTAAATGCAAAGCATTCGACTCCGCGGGTAAAGGTTACGTAAGAGCCGAGGCGGTGGCGGCAATATATTTACAGAAGGCAAAGGATGCGCGCAGGGTGTACGCCACAGTGCTTCACACGAAAACGAACACTGACGGTCACAAACGTCAGGGTATCACGTATCCGAACGGTAATATGCAGAATAAATTGATGCGCGAGGTGTACAACGAGGTCGGGATCAATCCCGCGGACGTGGTCTACGTGGAGGCCCACGGTACCGGCACCAAGGTCGGTGATCCGGAAGAAATCAACTCTGTCGACGAACTGTTCTGCAAAAACAGGACGGCGCCCCTGCTCATCGGTTCCATCAAGTCCAACATGGGTCACTCGGAACCTGCCAGCGGACTGTGCGCGATCGCCAAGATGTTGATCGCGATGGAAGCGGGCGTGATCCCCGCAAACTTACACTTCGAGAGTCCGAATCCGAACATTCCTGGCTTGTTGGAAGGACGTCTCAAAGTGGTCGACAAGGCTACGCCGTGGAACGGCGGTATCATAGGCATCAACTCGTTCGGTTTCGGCGGCGCGAACGCGCACGTCGTTCTGCGCAGCAATCCAAAGCCAAAATTGTCACCGGTGCTGGACACCGAACTCTTACCCAGACTGGTCGCCGTGTCGGGTCGCACGCAGGAGGCCGTACACACTTTGCTGGACAAAGCGAAGGAGCATCGGACAGACGACGAGTTTCTCTCGTTGCTGCACGGTGTGCACAACAACAACATACCGGGTCACAAGATTCGCGGCTACGACATATTGAGCGTCGATGGGATGCGCGAGATAGCCGATGTGGTGATCCAGGAAGAGAAACGTCCCATCTGGTTCGTATTCTCCGGTATGGGCGCGCAGTGGGCCGGCATGGGTCGCGAGCTGCTCGGCATCGAGGTCTTCCAGCGTAGTCTGCACCGGTGCGCGGACGCGCTGAGGCCGCACGGCATCGATCTCATGGACATCATCATGAATAGCACGGAAGAGACGTTCGAGAACGTGATAAATTCCTTCGTGTCGATCGCGGCCATGCAGGTCGCCCTCGTCGACGTGCTGACGTCCATAGGCGTACATCCGGACGGCATAGTCGGGCACTCCGTCGGGGAGCTGGGCTGCGCCTACGCCGACGGCTCGTTCACGCCGGAGCAGACCGTTATAGCAGCCTACTGCAGAGGCAAGTCGATCAAGGACTCGAAACTGGACGTGGGCGCCATGGCGGCGGTGGGTCTGAGCTGGGAGCAGGCGAAGAGTATGTGCCCGCCCGACATCATTCCGGCGTGTCACAATTCCGCGGAGTCGGTGACCGTTTCCGGTCAGCCGAAATCTCTGAAAAAGTTTGTGGAGGAATTGAAGAGCAAAGACATCTTCGCCAAATTGGTGAAGAGTTCCGGCGTCGCTTTCCACAGCAAATACATCGCCACGGCCGGGCCCAAGTTACGCGCCTCGCTCGATCAAATCATACCGAATCCGAAACAGAGGTCGGCCAGATGGATCTCCACCTCCATACCCGAGGCCGCGTGGGGCAGTCCACTCGCGCAGTTCAGCTCGTCCGCGTATCACGTCAACAACTTGCTGTCGCCCGTACTCTTCCACGAAGCGATCAAACACATTCCGGAGAACGCAATTACAATCGAAATCGCGCCTCACTGCTTGCTGCAGGCGATCCTGCGGAGATCGTTACCGCCGACGGTCACCAACATCGGTCTGCACAAGCAGGGTCACGCGAACAATCTGGCCTTTTTGCTGTCCAGCGTGGGCAAGCTGTACGTGGCCGGCGCGCAGCCGGACATCTCCAAGCTTTATCCGCCTGTGAGTTTCCCCGTCGGTCGCGGAACACCGATGATCGGCCCGCTGGTGAAATGGGATCATTCCACCGACTGGGAAGTGGCCACGTTCAAGCAGGTGTCGGGACGATCGGGAGAATGCGTGGTCCAAGTGGATCTGTCGAAGGAAACGGACGCGCACATAGCGGGACATCAAATAGACGGGCGGATCCTTTTCCCGGCCACCGGCTACATTCTGCTGGTGTGGAAAACTCTGGCGAAGCTGCGCGGCGTCGAATACGATCGGTTGCCAGTGGTGTTGGAGAACGTGCGGTTCCAGCGCGCCACCATAATGCCGAAGGAGGGAGTGGTGAAGTTCTCCATAACCATCTTGGAGGGATCGGGCAACTTTGAAATATGCGAGGGCGGCACGGTCGCCGTCAGCGGAAACATCCGCGTGTCCGAAGCCATCGAGAAGGATCAGTTGAAATTGTCGCCGCCGCTGATGCCGTCCGCCGACAAGGAGACTCTGCCGATGGACACGAAAGACGTTTACAAGGAACTGAGACTGCGCGGATACGAGTACCGCGGCCTCTTCCAAGGCATCAAATCCTGCGACAATTATGCCACCGCCGGCGAACTTCGCTGGTCCAACGAGTGGATCTCTTATATCGATACCATGCTTCAGTTCAGCATACTGTCCACCAGCCACAAGCTGCTGTATCTGCCGTCCCGTTTGCAATACGCCGCGATCAATCCTGTACTTCACAGGCAACTGGTGGACGAATTACCGGAGGACGGCGCACTGCCGGTGTATAATTACAAGAACATCAATATCGTCAAATCTGGCGGCATTGAACTCAGGGGATTGAAGGCTTCCTTGGCACCACGACGACAACAGTCTCAAGCCGATCCCAAACACGAGCGATACACTTTCGTACCTTATGAGAATCCGCACAGTCTGGTGGAGGATCCGACGAGAGGAAAGGTGCACGCGCTCACCGTGCTTCTGCAGACCATGTTTGAGAATATAATGGCGCTGAAGATCAAAGCCGTGGAAGTTGCGGGCGAACGAGCCGCGGAAGCCCTCTTGACGCCGCTCGTGCTGGACATTCTCTATGGCGAACCTGGTCCGCATATTGTAAGTATTGCCAAGTTTTCATCAACTTATTATAATAAATTATTTAATTCAATGAATAAATTATTCAGATGAGTAATTTGAAGCGAGGAACCCCTATAATTGTTGATGCAAAATGTCGACAATAAAAAAGATCGAAGTAGTTCTCAATACAACTTCCAAGATTCTTAAATTGTTACTTGCATTTATGTATAATTTCCATATGTTTGAATTTATGAGTGAACGGCGCTGGCGATTATAGATTTTTCTATTTATAATTGCGTTTCTCTTCTAATGTTAATTTTTATTTATATTTTTTCAAGATTTGCTCTTAACATTTATTAGAATTATTTATTATTATATAGATTTTTTTATGTTATAAATTTATTAAAATATTTAATACTTAAGCTTATCGCGACATTGTTGATTAATAAATTGAATGTTTGTAACGCTATATTTTTATGAAAATTATTTTTGTTTTTTTAGGTCGATATACAGGTGGCCACTGTTTCTCCGGACCATTACACGGCGACTCTCGATCAACTGGACATGAACGTTGAGGTTGTGGCGCGTGACGTGAACAACGCACCTCCGGCTCAAGACGTGCACCTTGTCATAGCAGCGGACGTCTTGTCCAATCAATTATACACCGTTCTCAAAAATCTGGCGGCCGCATTAAAGCCCAACGGTTTCGTTCTTCTGGAGGAGACTAGCACCCAGCTAAATTTGAACACCGCGTTGAAACACGCGGGTCTGTCGTTGGTCGGAAAGCAAGTCGATCCCGTGGGGAAGACTTATCTCTTGCTGAAGAAACAAGAAAAGAATGGCGAACCGATCGTAATACAGATCACAGAAAAGAATCTCTCGTGGTTGGAGGGCGTGAAGGCAGCGCTGAAGAAATCCGAAACGGAAGAACAGGAAGTGCTCCTTGTATCCCAAGGCGAAGAATCACTCGGTAAGATTGCGAAAGAATCATTTTCAAATAGTTTCTTTAATTTTTTTTCTATCAAGTTAAATCGAAAAACCATCTCGTTTCGCAGGCCTCGTGGGACTCATGACTTGCATTCGGCGCGAATCGGGCGGTGCAAACGCCCGCTACGTCTTCATCCAGGATAAAAACGCACCCAAGTTTGGCCTATCTGTGCAATTCTACAAGCAACAGTTGAGCAAGGGCCTAATGGCCAACGTGCTGAAGGGGGAACAGTGGGGCAGTTATCGGCACCTGCAATTGGATCAGCAGAGCAACCTGTCTTCTCTCCAAGTGGAGCATGCCTATGTAAACGCGCTAATGCGGGGAGATTTGAGCAGCCTAAGATGGATCGAGGGTCCGTTGAGTTACTATCGGCCCGACAATTTCTCAAATACAACGCTGTGCAGCGTGTACTACGCTCCGTTGAACTTTAGGTAAGATGGTTGAAACAAAGTGTCATTCGTTGCTCGCTTAGATAAGTTCTGGCAAGTAATTTCACACGAACAAACAGGGATATCATGTTGGCGAGCGGCAAACTGCCGCCGGACGCCTTGCCGGGAAAGATGGCCACGGAGGATTGTATATTGGGACTCGAGTTTTCCGGAAGGGACGAGGACGGCCGTCGTGTGATGGGCATGGTCGAGGCCAGAGGACTGGCGACCACCGTGGTGGCGGACTGTGGTTTCCTTTGGGAGATACCAGACAAATGGACGCTGGAACAGGCGGCGACGATACCCGTCGCCTACGCGACCAGTTACTACGCGCTGTTCGTGCGCGGTGAACTGAAGCCGGGCGAGAGCATTCTGATTCACGCCGGTACAGGCGGCGTCGGCCAAGCGGCGATCGCCATCGCTCTGCACGCCGGCTGCACGGTCTTCACCACCGTCGGCACGCAGGATAAGAGAGAGTACATCAAGAAGACTTTCCCTCAGTTGACCGACCGACACATCGGCAATTCACGAGACACCAGCTTCGAACAGCTGATACTTAACGAGACGCAGGGACGCGGAGTCGACGTGATACTGAATTCACTGGCGGAGGATAAACTGCAGGCTGGCATACGGTGCCTCGCGATGAACGGACGCTTCCTCGAGATCGGCAAGTACGATCTGTCGAACGACAGTCGCGTGGGGATGTCGATGTTCCTGAAGAACACGGCCTTCCACGGTATATTGTTGGACGCGTTGTTCGGCGAGGATTGCCCGGAGAAGAAAGAAGTGGTGAGATTGGTTTCGGAGGGAATCTTGAACGGTGCGGTGCGCCCGCTGCCCTCGACTGTGTTCTCGGAGCAGCAGCTCGAGCAGGGATTCCGATTCATGGCGACGGGCAAGCACATCGGTAAGGTGCTGCTGAAGATCCGGGAGGAGGAACCGAAGGAACGCGTGATGCCGATGCCGAAGATCGTTGCCGCGATACCGCGTACTTACATGAATCCGGAGAAATCGTACGTGCTGATCGGCGGTCTTGGCGGTTTCGGTCTGGAATTGGCCAACTGGATGATCGCCCGCGGCGCCAAGTTCATTGTTCTCGTGTCGCGCTCGGGCATACGCACCGGTTACCAGGCGTTGTGCGTGCGACGCTGGCGCGAAAAGGGCGTGAAGGTCGCCATCTCCACGGCGGACGTCACGACACTGGCGGGCGCCGAGCGCTTGATCGCGGAAAGCAGCCGGCTGGCACCGGTAGGCGGTATATTCAACCTGGCGGCCGTCCTGCGCGACGCCTTGATCGAGAATCTGGAAGAGGCGGATTACAGGACGGTGATATTGCCGAAAGTCAGCGGTACGAGGAATCTGGACGTGGCGTCCAGGAAGTCCTGCCCGTCCCTGGATTACTTCGTCGTGTTCTCGTCCATATCGTGCGGTCGCGGAAACGCGGGCCAAACCAATTACGGTTTCGCAAACTCGACTATGGAGAGATTGATGGAGCAGAGACAGGCTAATGGCTTGCCTGGTCTCGCTATTCAGTGGGGCGCTATCGGAGACGTCGGCTTAGTTATAGGTAATATAATTTTTCTCTCAATCGCATAGCCTCCTGAATTGGTTTTTCAAAACTTTTTTTTGGTCGTCTGTTTTGCTTCTAAAAGCTGATTTTTCGTCATTTTTATTCTACTTTCTAAAAAATATTATAAATTTACCAATAATGATGGAAATTAAGTTTAAAATTAAGTTCAGAAATTATTATTCTGTACATTTATGGCACGCTATATTTTATATTCCTATTTTTATGATGTAATGCTATGTTTTTCAGAAACAATGGGAGATAACGATACCGAAGTGGGCGGTACCTTACCGCAGCATATAGCGAGTTGCCTCGCCACCATGGACACGTTCCTTCAGCAGCCACATCCGGTGCTAGCTTCCGCGGTGTTAGCTGAGAAATACAAATCCGCGGACGGCGGCAACAAGGCCGGCCTCGTTGAAGCGATCGCCAATATCTTGGGTATCAAAGAAGTGAACTCGATCAATCCCAACAACAGTCTGGCCGATTTGGGTATGGACTCGCTGATGGGCACGGAGATAAAACAGACCCTCGAGAGGAACTACGAAGTCGTGTTGTCGCCCCAAGATATCCGTAACTTGACTTTCGGCAAACTGCAAGAATTATCTTCGGCGAGTGGCGAGACGGCGAAGGAACAGCAACCTCCCGCCGCGAGTGTGGCAACTACTACCGCGGTCTCGGACGCCAGCGTCGCCAGCAACAACATGCTGCTGATGCAGTGGCCGAGTAACGAATTACTCCCTAAGGAATTCCTCGTCCGCCTCAAGACGAAGAGCTCGAAGGGACCGGCATTGTTTATCGTTCACGCGATCGAGGGTCTGGCGGCACATCTCGAAGACATGGCCAGCGAACTCGAGAGACCACTTTGGGGTCTGCAAAGCACCAAAGAAACACCCCATGACACGATACTCAACATGGCTGCGTTTTACGTAAGCGCCATCAGGAAGGTCCAGAAGAAGGGACCGTACCACGTGGCGGGATATTCGTTTGGCGCTTGCGTCGCGATTGAGATGGCCCTGCAATTGGAAACCGCCGGAGAAAAGGTTCAACTGAGTTTGATCGACGGTTCGTCGGCATTCGTGCACCTGCAAACGAAGCAGATCAGTAGATTATTGTCTAATGAGGATGTAATGGAAGGTTACGTAAAAGCGATGGCGTTTTTCACCATACAGTTCAACAAGAGCATTACTTACCTACAAGTAAGTACAATGTTTACTTATTCTTTCTTGTACCTAAAAAACGTATAGTGTATTCTCAAATGTCAAAGATAGAAATAATTATAAAGAGGGATATTGCACAAATAATCGAGGAATAAATAATATGAAACCTAAGCAAGAATCAACTCTAATGAGCGAGCTTATTGTATGCGCAGATAACTTTTTTTGCCCTTTGAATTTGACGATTCATAATTATTGAACATTCAATATGTTTTTTTTCTCGTTTATTAGCTATTTGCTATATGCATTTTATAATCCGGAATCTTTTAGGCATGCAGTATGCTAGCAAACATTACGCAGATGGAGGATATCCAAGAGAATATGTTGAAAGTGATAGGCGACACGCCGTTTGACAACGAAGATCTGAAGATCGCCGGACACCTTTTGTTCCTAAAGTTGTTAGCTGCTTCATTATACGAACCGAGCAAAAAGTTCAACGGACCAGTCACACTGATTAAAGCTACAGATAACTATATAAATATAGAAGAGGATTACGGTTTATCAAAGGTAAAGCACACATTCATCTCTCTTATTAAATTATATAATATCTACAATGTTATCTTTTTTTCCTTTTCTATCATTTTGACGATCGCTGTCACGTATGCATGACTCTTGCCGTGAAAATTGCCGACGAAAGTATTTGTATGAAACGTTGCGGATTTGTGAATTTGAATTCAAATGGATACGCTTAGTTTGTTTGAATATAAGCTTGATCAATTAATATTTCTCATTTGTGGAATCGAAAGGTTTGCCGACTTTATACTTGAAGACTTACATGTAATTTGTTTTCTTTTTACTTTTTAGATCTGCACGCAACCGGTGAGAATAGAAGAAGTGGAAGGAAACCACAGGACGATACTGTTGGGAGAAAGTGCGAAAAAGATCGCCGATTTCTTGCGAGTGTAATTTGCGGAACGCGAGGAATGTTTTTTTTAAAGAATTGAACACGTAGCTAAGTTAGGAACCTGCGTATATTTTATTACGCACGAAAATAGTTACGTGACATGGCGCGATGCCGGCGGAACTTAATAATCCCCATACAGACAGAAAGATTGCAAAGACATTGATGATATTATTTCATTATAAAATTGCGATATTGTAAATATGTTGCTTAATGTTGTCGCAAAACTATTGTAGAATTGCAGCGACATTGAAGTGCACGCCTTTTAAAAGATTGCAATATCATGCATATGATTGTTGGAATTTGGCAATTCCAAATTGCCTCTAAATTGTCTCCGTGACAATGCATTGCAATTTGCAAGATTGCCACGTTACCACAATGTGTCTTGTAAAAGATTCTGTGCTGTATAGATTAATATGGATTAGTTGCATAGAGTTCTCTTGCGTATATGTTCCTCGTCATATACTTTAATTAGGAAGTTCACATAATCGCAAACAAGCAGATTGTACAAAGTGAAAAACGCGCAAGACAAGAGAAAAAAATGCATTATCTTAGAATGGTATCTGTACCATTTCATTTCAATTGAATATAATAAATTATTGTAATTTTTAAATACACGAGATCAATTTAGGAATTTTTTTTTTAAGACTACGCAAATCTTTGTGATGATTTCCAAAGTGGATCAACGTCCATTATTAAACTTATGCGCATATATGCGCATATTTATTTATTTAAATTATGTAATAATTAGTGCATCGCGTTATTGTTTTCCACTTAGTAATTAATGATATTTTTTTAAGTGGGTTGATCTCCTATTCTCTAGCTTAATAGATTTCTCTAGTGCTTTTCATCACAGTATTGTGATGAGATTGTACATAATGACAAAATTATACCAAAACATTCCTTAACACGGCTCTTAATTACTGATTTTAATGTTTACTCCTAAATTATTAAGACTTAATTTATGATAGATTTTGTTATAAGTATCCGTATGATACGTAATATGTTTTGTTTTATTTTTCGCTTACGTATCATATGTGAAAATGATATGCTTAAAAGTTGAAAATATATTGCAAGCTAATTAAGATCATTTATTTCATATGTTTTATATTCGATATTATTGTCAGGTGGTGATTTAATCCAAAAAATCTCCAAAAACAACCCCATACAAACAATAAATTTATTTTCTTTTAATACTATTATAATACTGTTGGATTATAAATTCAATATAACTTGGAAAAATAAAAAATTTACTTACAATTCGCACGTAAGACATTTTCTTTGTGCACTTCGATCACAAAAGTAATGTAAACAAAATGGTGAAATATTAATGCAATAAGATATTAAATTAATCCATTCCCAAAGTGTGTATCGGATATAGCAGCGTTTTTATCGCACGTGAAAGCCACAACTAGACAGTAACGAACACCAGATTTCACTTCTTCGACTAGATGCAAGTTTTCACTTCCCGACGTGTAAATCAATACTCTGCCTGAAAACATTGCTAACGTTACTATCTTGTAAGTCTTTATTTAATTTTCAACGGCACTTACCTTTTCTAGGCTCTATTGTTGAATTGACATTATTCTTATCAACAAATATAAATCGACCGCCTTCGAAATCTTTACTGTAATCATTTAAATACAGCAACGACGTGTAATGAAACGATTCGTGTCTCTCCTGAAATAAATTTACGTTTTAATTCAACTCTTATCTATTCAATCATACCTTAAATATGTTAAGTCAAACCTGATCGAAATATGGATGCCAGTACTCATAGTATACAGTTTTTGCGAACATATTAGTCCCCCGCGAGAAAAAAGTGGGCCCGGTTAGATATATCTTATCCATATCTATGCCAAAACTATGTGCCACCATATGTTGTATCTTCGATTTCACTACTCTGTAAATTAAAAGAATTTATTTATTGAGTTTATACAATCAATTCACATTCTAACTTTTATACTGTTAAATTTAAAGCAATAAGGTTTTCCTTATTTAGCGTTCTAGATTTAAATTTGCACATCACTAAGAATCATACCTATAAATTGCTAAATCCACACTGTTAAATATCTTTTTTGCTGCCGGGTGCTCATAGACATTAATATAGCCGTCGTCCTCGGTGAGAGTGCCAGAATCAAGATGCAGATTACTTATACCACTATTAGATACACCCAAATCGAATCCATTTTTTGCTAGTTTCAGTAAAACATCTACCTCTGTTGTCGAAACCAGCTTGTCAGTAACAATTCTGCCACATTTTTCTGGTACACAGCCAGAGTATTTTTCTATCTCGTCTCTATAATCCACAGAGCACTCAACGTTCTGTGTACGACTTACCAACACATCTTTCTGCTTAGCTAAGAATACTTCTTTGCCCTGCCTACTGTTATACATAACTATCAATAGTACTCCAAGTATCAGAATGCATCTGGACCATATTCTTTGATATGGAAAGGACACAAGAGGTCCATATTTCCTGTGAAATAGAAAGCAAATTAAATTCTTGAATAAAATCATTCACTTGTGGAAATCAGAGTCATTTAATAAGCAGAGCTCACTTTATATAATACATTTTTTTTATTTGAACATTATGTATTTAACTACTTATAAATATTGACAAAAAATGTAGTGTGTAACGCTACACTAAAAATTTATGACATTGCAGTCAAATCTACATACAACTCGGCAGGCTTGATAGATTTTTCTGTCTTAGTTGATTTTTCTGTCTTGGTTGACTTTTCTACCTTGCTTAATTTTTCTGTCTTAGATTCTTCTTGCTTTGTGCTTTCTTTCTGCGCATTTTTTTTCTTTGCTTTCTTCACTTCTTGCGCCATCGCGTAGGCTCACTATTTTTTATCTTTTAATTTTATGTTTAACCCTAAATTTTCAAATATAGGCTGTCACTAAGATGACAGAAGTGTTTATTATTGCACAGTTAATAAACGCCCTAACGCGTTTAAGTGTTTACAGTATGATACAGCTGTGTGGCATCTTGACTGACAATAAGATAAGATGAGATAAAAATCTCAATGAATCCAGAATGGAACGCGAGTGACCAGGAATGACGCGCACAATCGAGAATCGCGGACATGTACCTGGGGTGCGTTCCATTTAACACCCGCAACGACCGCGACCACGGACCATGCGACCTGTGCGCACACGTACGTGTGACGTAAGCGATTCTCTGCTTGTGTGCATGCCACGGACTAAGGAATAGAGGGACTGAGACCGGTATTCATAGGGCGGTATTCATAGTCCGTTCTTATATTCAAGATCGTCTTAAGCACGAACTTATATTCGCTCTCTATATTTCTACTCGTACGTACGTACGTACGTACGTTACGTACGTACGTTACGTACGTACGTACGTACGTACGTAACGTACGTACGTACGTTACGTTACGTTACGTTACGTTACGTTACGTTACGTTACGTTACGTTACGTTACGTTACGTTACGTTACGTTACGTTACGTTACGTTACGTTACGTTACGTTACGTTACGTTACGTTAACGTTACGTTACGTACGTACGTACGTAGTATATATATAATATAAAAAAATATATATATGTCGTGCTTAAGACGATCTTGAATATAAGAACGGACTATGAATACCGCCCCTAGTTTAGGCGAGAGGGGTTGGTAATTCAAGCGTGCGGGGGGGTTAAGAATTAGTGTGACGCTTCGAATTTTGATTAGCTCGAATAGTAGAAGAGAGCAGACTGTTTTTTTTGTCTCATTCTTATCAAATCAGCAACGAAGGTGACATTGCATTCGATTTACACATCAGAAGATGAATTCGGATTTTTATAAATATTTAATTAAAGTTTTATTTCTGATTAATTTTTATAATTCAATTAACATTAGTTAAATTTAAGAAGATATTGAAGATAAAAAGAAATTTGTTCAGAATTTTATAAGCACTTTGAGAATTGTGTAATTATTTTATCAAAGCTAATATCTTCCGATGTGCATAAATCGAAAAAAAACATTGAATTAATGTTGTTTTCGTTGCTGAAACAAGGTCGAAAACGTATATTTGCTCTTTCCAATTATTCGGAGCCAGCCAAATCGCACATGCATACAATTTTTCGTTATGTATGTATTCCTACTGCATGGTTTACTGTACTGCGTCTCGATTCTGGCATCGCTAAATGAGATGCAAGCAAACCAACGATCTCTTTCAGTCGTCAATTTTCGGTTTTATTTTGCGAACGAGCCGCTTGAGGTAGTCACTCCGATGACAGCAGCACTGAACGGCGAACTAATGTGTACCGCGGTCGCTCCAGGTTGTTCTTCGTAACCCGGGGTATTGCTTATCGACAATAATTAACATGGTTGCTCACGGCCGGTAGTGTGTTGTGCTTCGAGATTCAGCAACGAAATAATAAATCAGACTAAATTTTATCAAGTCCTTGCGCGACGTACACCAAGTATGGCACATCAATTGCTCTCGTCGGCCAGTAAACTGGAAAGACTCATCCTAAAGTCCACTCAGAAAGGTTATTTCGACACATTGCAGGTATCATAACCTATTAGCCGCGTATTTGTGATATAACATGCTGTGATCGCGGTATCACGCGCTCGTAAAAACGATTGCAACATTTTTGCGAAAATGACATGACATTACGACAAATATCGTCACATTCAACTGCGCGGTTAACCTTGCGAGGTACACGTGTCACGTATTGCATTTTGTGTTTAGCATATTTTTCACTATGCTACAGTTATAGTTGTTTTACTAGGTGCGCAATTAAGTTTCCGGGTTTTTTTTATCAATGCAAAATGGAAAATTTCAAGAGAAATACAAAAAACGGTTTATTCAAAGTATCGTCCCTCGCTAGCTACACATTTTTGCCATCTCTCTGGCAATACATGAATACCGCGACGATAAAACGACGCGTCTTTGCATCGAAACCATTTATCCAATCAGTTTTGCACTTCTTCGAAATTGGCCAAGTGTAGCCCAGCTAAGCCATGTGCCATCGACCGGAACAAGTGATAATTGAAGGGGCCAGGTCTGGTGAATACAGCGGGTGCGGTAGCAGA